TAAAAAATTTAAAAAAAAAAAAGACAGAATGAAGCACAGACAAATGTTCTTGGTTCAATGTCACAGAAGACCTATTCCGATTATTAATGGACCCTGTGATGTGCTGCAGGAGAATGAATAGCAGAGCCAATCTGGAGCTGAGAACGCTCAGGATCTCAGTGTAGGGGGCTCACAGCGTCCCAGATGCAGAGCCGGGAACACAGCCACATCTTCTGCCGTCCTCCCCTCCCTCCCCCTCCCTGCTCCCCTGGGATCTCCCTCCAGCCCTGACTCCAGTCTCCCCAAAGCCCTAGTGATATAATATGATCCTCCAAATGATACAGGTAAAATGATCTCCTGACCTGACCTGGACGAGTTCGTGTTCTCTAAAACTGAAGAATGAATTTTAGGAACAAATGGAGGGACCAGAATATAATTATTGAGGGAAAGAAAGCTCCTGTCCAACAAAGGGATAGGAGGGGGGCCTGAGCGGGTTGTCCTGAAGAAGCTGTCTCTTTCTGGGACTTTTGTAGTATAAAACCATGTGGGGCTAAGGTGGAGAAAATGGGAACTCGCTTAGGTGGGCATGAGGTAGGACAAAAGTACGGTCAACCAATGAGATTACAAACACCATTGCTCAGGTAAAATTGATTAAGCCCAGGACCAAGTGGGGAAAGCGAGTCATGCAGCAAGCAGGCATGAATGTAGAACAGGACCTTGTCTGGTAGCCATCTGGTAGTAGCTGGCTTAATGATACTAATCTTTAGGGAGGTCAGCATTTGTTTGGTCTTTGGTCTTAGGTCTGACTCACAGCAGGAACATCCTTCCCTCCCACAGTTGTCAGGTATCTTGTCTTCTGTGGTATCTCCTTCAAGAGCCTGGCCCTGTCTGACTGCCTGTAACATTTCTAGGTAAGTCGGCTGCCTGCAACACTAGGACCTTTCCTCTCCTCCTGCCCAGCTCTGCATTAGAGTTCTGAGTGCTCTGCAGTCGCTGCCCCCTCAGTGCCCTCTGAGTCACAGAGCGGTGTGTCTGCAGTGTGGTCAGTCTAATCTTAAATTTTTTAAAA